TATGTATGTATGTATGTATATATGTATATATATGTATGTATATATCTAAAAAGCTAAAATAATGGAAAATGGCAGCCATTTTAAATTGTAATAGCTCAAAAATGTGTACAATATTTAGTTAACTGTTGTTGTCATTGTTATGAGTGAATTTCCAATTGAATGCTGCATTTTATAACATAAACATACAATATTAGTGACAATTTTAGGAAAAAATGGCGGCCATTTTGAAACTGCTGGCAACCCCCCTTACGTATGAAAAAAAAAATGTTGCACATACTTTTTTGATTTATCAATGTCTACTCTACATCATATCCAATTTTTAACAAATATAGCAAAAAAAAATGCAACCTCTGATATTGCTACATTTCGGACTGGACTATTAGAATCGCAGACAGCTAGTGACTTCGTAGGGAAAAAGGCTTGCATATTGCATAGAAAGACGCCATATCAGATGCCAGGTAACTAGCTGTAGTAAGGGCTACTGAGAACGGCTCTAGGCCTCGGGGTAGCGAAGATGCCGAGGCCCCAAGAGCGGGGATCTGGGGGCCAGCGGAGGCATCCACTGGGGTCCAGGGGGAAGAACCACTGGTGGGGGCTCGGGCATTTTATAGTTACGTCCTAATTCGGACGATTAGAGACATGGTAACATAGGAATATGTCGTTCAAAGTGTATTTTTTTTTCCAAAATCACTATTATTTGTTTTAGTTGATTTGTCCCTGGCACCGGGGCACTGCCCCTCCCCTCCAGTAGTGACTGTAGTATGGGATGGGAAGGGAGTATAATTCTGATATAAAGGGCCATGAAAGTATCTAACCCTAACTTCCCAGTTAACAATGTTCCGTTAAACAACGTTATAATAACGTTCCATTTTGGATTTCAAAGTGCTTTTTTTTTGTAGGACCATAAGCATTGACCTATTAATAAGGTACATGCCATAACTCCGTACTTATAATGCAATCTCTGCCTAAAGGTACAAACGTTGCTGTAACATTATGTTAACGTCATTTTCTGACAAAACTTCTTTTTGCATTTTGTGTTCACTGGTTTAGCACGGATTCTTACACTACTTTACCAATCTCTATACTCTCACTGGCGCATTATAAATATGAAATATCTATTATTTTTACGATTACTTTAAAAGTAAAATAGAAATATTATCTATTATTTTTACGATTACTTTAAAAGTAAAATAGAAATATTATCTATTATTGTTATATTGATATATTATTATAATTACATTAAAATATCTACATAACATTTTATTACGTTATTAGATACAATGTCATAACATTACGCTTTTCAATTTTCGTTTTTAATTACGTGCAGTCCAATCTCTTAAGTGGACATTGATGAAATGTTTGTATAATATACATGCCTTTAATAAATTTACTAATTGGTCTCTATATTAGTGGCATTGAAGATACACGAAACGAATAAACGAATTGAATTGTTCAAACAACCGTTTGTGAATCGATCAATGCATCATTTAAGTAGTTGATTAAGTTTTTCCTGTAGACACAGCATCACGATTCTTTGTTTTCATTTTCATGGTAATGATATGCACAATAAAGTAGCTCCGTTACTTAATATTTATCATTATTATTAAAATATTACTCTTAATAGTATTAGCCTACTAATAACCAATACAATTAAAACAATACATTCAATAATAATGTATTACAGTATATATACCTCATAAGAAGTTTATTCTTGTTTATTGTATAAAATACTTAGAGAATTACTACAAGACTGTTCAAAGTTCATCTCTATATTGTATTGATTTTACTTAGTCAGTATCTTTGCGAAAATTTTGTCTTGTTAACCTTAAGATGAAATCATATGGATTGCTGTTTCCGATTTTAAAACTAGGGTTGTTCTGTGTAAGCGCAAAAGACTGTGTAATCAGTTGCAGATCGATCAGATTCGAATTCTAAAACACTACGTTTTTTTTAAAACCACAATACTTTTTTTAAACCACAATACAAAACAATACAGTGATATCAAATATATATATAAATACATTTCTTGATTTATTTTCTCATATAGTATATCTATACATCTGAAATACATGCAGTTTATATTCCGTTCATTAAAATAGCATGGATTGCTGCAGACAAAAGTATAGTAAAGTTAGATTGCACCACAAGTACAGAACCTGGGGGGAGAGAGTGGATTGCTCATTCTTGATTAGTTCGTCCACACTTTGATTTGAGTTAATTCTTTGCCCTTTCTTCACACGTTACCTGCAAATATATGCATGTTACTACTAAGTTATTTTCCTAGACAGTTACATTTTTAATTCAGTCAGCTAAAAAAGATTTGCCTGAAAGCAAAGAGTTTCTCCCAATTCATAAATTTTTTTCTGCTAAAAATTCCCTTAAATAAGAACATAAAATCTCATATATTCTTTGCTACTTAATTGTATGTGTTTTGTTTTGCTTCTTTCTGCTCTTTTTTACTTTTGCCTGGATAAGCTAGTTAGATGCTGGCATCATGAGGCTAGCAGTGAATAGGTTATTAAGTCATATTTATCTGTTAGATATACTCGCAGATTGCCATTCACTGTACAGGAAAAACTATAGCCACCAACACCATATGCAAGAGCGCAAATGACGCACCAGTCTAGACAAGTTTTTGTTTGCATTTAATTACATTATTATTAAAAATATTGATTCTTGAAATTCTTATTAATAATAAATTTAAATTTTACAAAATGATCTTTTCACATCCTCTAATCACTATACATGCCTGTTTGTACATTTTACAAAAGTGCAAGCAATGTTGTGGTGTTGGTGACTTTCACGGCAGTTCAAAGTTTTGCACTGTGATGATGCATTTTTGACACTTTGGGCTTCCCAAGTTGGTGGCTTTACTAAAACCAGCTAATGAGCAATCCAGCTTTTATGTAGAGATCAATGGATGTTCTGTAGCTATAGCTACAGATAAATAAATGTCAAACACCTCATGCATGGCAACGAGTTGGCTTTTATCAAATAACAGGTTTCTTTTTGGCATGCCATGTTTATGTATGAATAGCCATATTTGGTCATACCCCTGACCTCTACACTTGAAAATAAAAAAAAATCAACCAATCGCATCTCTTTCTGCAGAACGCCATTCATAAATTTCTTAAAAAAAGAAGTAATAATAAAATAATAATTATATAAAAATAATAATTAATATAATATATTAATAATAATATTCATTAATATAACTCATTAAATGAGTACCCCAACTTGTTCAGCTCGTTTGCTGATTCTTCTTCTGTCTTCTTTCAAAACTTCAAGTTCTCGAGGACTTCTTCCGACCTTTTCCTGCAAAACAATTATATAAACCTTGAACCTTGACCTTGAATTTGAAATCTTAAGCCCTGTCCACACTATCATATTTTCTTTGACAAAAAAACTGTTGCATGGCCATATATAGTCATGATGTGCCTATATAAGGTCATGATGTGATGTCATCATGACCATATTTAGGCATGTCACATGTTTTTGTCAAATAAAATTTGATAGTCTGGACAGGGCCTTAATATTCAGAGTTAAGGGCATATCATCATCTAAAATAAGATTGTTGGGATATCAGTTTGTGAATAAGTAAAGCCTGTAAGAAGCCAATTTAAGGTTTGTACACCACTTTGGAACTACAATTCTGGTCATCTGATTTTTTTTAAACACCTGAGTAATAATTAAACTACAAGGACAGCAGAAATGATCACACTAAGCAAACATACTTTGATTTTTCCGCCAAGTGTTTCAAGAAGAGTTGAAAACAAGTAGTCTGCATTTTTTATGATGAACTGACGTTCCTGTACAAACTTCTCATTTGTTACGGCGCCTTCAAGCAATTGCATGTGGTTGGTGAACACATCTTTCACTATATCAATCAGGTCTGGATAAATCTACAACAAAATAAATAGTTGGGGAGGGGAGTCATTTTTAAATAATAAATGTAACAACGATGACTTCTTAGTAAAGTCAAATGATATGTAAAAATGAAACTGTGTGTAATTGAATCTGAATAGGGTTGAGTCAAAAGCTTCAACAAATCAATGATGTATGTTTATGTAAATTTTGCTTTGAAATGGCAATCATTGCAATGTTAAAGGTAAATGAGCCCGTACCAATTGGTCTGGAAATGGTGCAGTAAAGAAAGTATCTGTACAAACTAAATATTGCCAATTATCTAGTATAACCACCCTAAAAATAAATGGTATAGTCAGAAAACCCAGGTAAGTATTCATGATATAGACTGGTAAACATATACAAAATGTAAAAACACTTTTCTCCTGGTGAGGTCGTGCTGGCCAAAGAAGGTCAATTCGGGAAATGGAATCTATCCACAAGGTTAAGAGGCAGAATTGCAACTGCTACACGGAATCGTTTAAAAAAGAGGCTAAAAATAAAGTGGTAAAAATAGTGCAAGGAGAACCTTACCTCAGGAGTATAGAGTTTGAGGACATCATTGACAAATGCAAGGAGGAGTTTACTAAAAGCCACCATGCTAGGTGAAAGGTCAATGAAACAACCTCCGGTTACAAACTTAGGAAACATGGGTATCCCACATTGTACCATCTCCTGCACAAGAGCATTAGCAGACGACGGGTTGCGAAGATTCATCTGGTACCATTTCTCCTCCTGTAATTAAAAATAAAGAAAATTCTTTGAGATAGAAAATATAATTACAACATGCAACTGCTTTCATTAACAACATTTGATTTTCCTCATTTAATGGTTACTCATACAGTAAAGATTCAACAAGTACCACTTTAGTCTTGTTTGCCCTGCTTATATGATGCAAAAGGTATCTTTGTTGAGTAGATATTAAGATGGTTTTCCACTGGGCGAATTTAGTCAACAATCAGAGCTCAGGAAGCAAATGGACACTTTCGATTCGCGCGAATAAATTTGACTAGTGGAAAACAGGTTTTACTGGAGAAATCTCACACTAAGTAAGTTTTACAATTTATAAACCAATAAACATGCCCAGGTCAACCTGGCTAAATTTTGATATGTTTATAATTCCTCAGTGGATGGTATTGTAAGGTAACATGATTATCTATGGGCCGGATATCCTAAGGAATGAAATAAAAGCAGGCTTAAATAATGCTAGGAATGGATTCAACCTCTAAAAGAAGACCAATGGCTTTATACAACATAAAAAATTGCTGCCACAGAGAAATGATAAACACAATATCTAAAATGAAATGCTCACAATATGATGCATAAAATTATACATAGGAAACTTATTAAGTTAGCAAGCTGAAATTAATATCATGATGAACAGAGTAATTGATACATTTAATATAAAATATCTTTTCTTTATTATATATGCCTTCTTCAATTATCAAATGCAAAAACCATTAATCATAATCTCCACTAATGAATAAGTGTTTGTAAGCTTTTAATTTGTTTGATGTTGTGGCACATGACAGGTACAAAGAACAAGCTTGATTTCATCAATGATTGATCTTGTTTGATCAAATAATGTGTTTCTATTTTATTTTTTATAGATTTCTTCAACATGTTGTGATCAGATTACAAAAAGTACATTTATATCATAATCTGAAATTTAACCATTTTAGAACACACTTCTAATTTTTTTACTTCTATTATTATAAGTCTACTTATAACAATTTAACAATGTATCATAGTAAGTAGATCTGGTAGACTAGTCACCAGTCAAAAACATGCAGATATGCCAACTCTTTCCTGCCCAGTGTAATTTGTCAATCCAACAATGTGCAGTATGTTTAAACTAGTTGTCTATTTTTAACTTGTGTTATATTTACGGTTATTAATTGTGTTATATTTATGTACATTTTAGTTTTTGTAGTTGATTCAAAATGTACCATTTTTTTTTTGTTGTTCTACTCATCTGCATTTTTTACCCAAGAACAAAAATTTTATGCAAGTTATTTATATGCTGAATAAATCAAACCTTGAGTCTGCAAAAATATTTTCTGTGTTTGCAGACAAAGCACACAATAGTAAGAAAGAAAGTAGTAACACAGAATGCCAAAGGTGGGAGCCCATGGCAAAGCAGTACTCTTGATGGCCACGGTCTGTACAATACAGCATGCGAAAAATTAAAGAAGCTTGTGGGCGGACACCAAAGTTTGCTCAGAAGAGCACCCCATTCTACAAATGTGTACTGTGTATTCTAACTCACAATGTTCCGGTGTCTGGCAGCTTCTATGAGTTGGTCTTTGTTGTAATATAAAGCATCTCTGATTCCCTTCACCAGCAGACCATTCAAGGCAAACAACAGGTCAAGCCCAATAGCAGACAACTTAAACAAAACACAATAAATACAAAATTAATTTTGAAAATCCAGTTCATTCCTTGGAAAATGTGTTCATATTCAACGTGGGTCTAGTTCATGTGTCCATGCATTATACAAATTCAGACACATAGTCATAAAGTACTTTCAAAGTGAAACACTGCCAATCACAAGAAGAATGCATTCAGGTTGTTTAAATTTTCATTACATGAAGGAATAACAGTTTTCATTGATTTTTACAGTATCATATCTGTCTCTTATACACATATAGATGTGTATAAGAGACAGGTAAAAACACTTTTCTCCTGGTGAGGTCGTGCTGGCCAAAGAAGGTCAATTCGGGAAATGGAATCTATCCACAAGGTTAAGAGGCAGAATTGCAAACTAGTCCTTAATGCATGGCAAATAACACAGATCAATCTGATACACCCTCTTCTTATCACCAATTTACAACAATACGAGATCCCCGAAGAGATGCTTTTTATAAGTAATGATATAATAGAGATAACACTGAATCATCTTGGGGGTGATGCTGTAAATATATATAAATATTTAAAATATATAAAATATTTTTAATATATAAATAAAATTATTTAAATTAAAAAAAATATTCAGATACATGATACAATATTGATAGTGTTTGTTGCATTGCAGTGAACACACACCCAATCATTGGAAGGAATATTTCAGAATCTTTACCTTTTACATGGTTGAATTAGTATTTTGAATTTAATGATATATTTTAATTTTGTCTTAGTATAATATATTGATAACATTACTGACAATTATATAGATGTACAAATAATGTTGTATTGTTTTATTCATTGCTTAAAATTTAATTGACTGATTGAGTGACTAATTAATTGATTACACTTACCTTTGAGCAGTAGGTCCTAGCAATAATTACACACTCTGCAACGACTGATAAGTTAGTTTGCTTTGCTAGAGCTTGTCTTGAGAAGTGGTTGACATAGCCTTTTAACTCCGCATTTGCCCAAACAACAAAAGCTGTATAAACAAGATGAAGGCATTTTCGTAATTCCTGTCTTTATATGCTGTGCACAAACTAACCAAAATATTAATAATAACAGAAACAAGAACACCATCATTACATATATTACAAATCATCAGCATTTAATATAATCATTATTAACTTTATCATAAAATCTTATCCTTAAGCATTCTCATAATCATCATAATTATCATAATCATCTTTGTTGTAATCTTCATCATTATTATTATTACAGTTTAAAGATTGGCATAGTGAAATAATAATATATTTAATGCTTGCGGTACGTCATTAGGAGAATAATATCTGATATTATTCTTCTGAAGATGATTTAAGCAACTCAATCAAAACGTTGAGATATTCTTAAAAAAAACAACAGTTCTTTTCAGAACTATCTACATGGTGTACCGTATGAAAAGTATATTAATATTATTATTATTGATAATCATATTTTTAAATTTGTGTTTTCTAATCATCATCATAATCATTGTCATTATCATATTAAACATATTTTTACCATTACCATAATCATTATTAACATAAGCATCATTTCCATAAGCATCATCCTTCTCATATTGTAATATTATCATCATCACCAGTGATAAATAATTTCTGTGAGCAATGCCATGAATTTGGATTATGCAGAATATGAAGTGAAGATACCTGAAAAGCAGCCAGGATGATTAGAAAATGCTTTCCTAAACTCTTTCCCTGTCTCAAACATATGAGTAAAAAACACATTGCAAAGTTTAGTGATATAAACAGTTGTAGCGCCCTCTATCCTCAGTTGCCTAATGGACTGCTTGATGGCTTCACTGCGATTCTTGAGGAACAGATCACAAGCCTGCAAACAAGTTTTAATATTTCTATTAAAAAATCTTTTCAAAAAAAAAGTTTGACTGAGGCAATTCTTTGTTGTAAATCATTGTTTATTCACATCAAATCAATCAATACAATACAGATAAATGGAAATAAATAATTTCAGGACATCGACTGGTTCACAGTCTATGCAGAAAAGTAAATAAATATAAACTAAAGTTCAAAAAGGTTACAAATGGAGGTTCAAAGTGGCTGCTCACGTTAAGCAAAACATTTTCGGCTGACCCTGGTCAGTGTGGTGTTCACCAGTCACATGCTGCTACAACATGAGAAAGATTCTCCCATGCTGGATTGTAACAAGCACTCCAAATAGTGTAACTACAGACAAGGGCCAGCTAACCTAATTTAGATTTAGGCTCACCTTAATTTCAAATCTTTGATCCGTAACAGTAAAATGAAAATGACTCACTTTTGGAGATTTAAGCAATTTCGCACAACGAAGCTGAGATAATTGCGATTTTGTGAAAGTAAAGCAATGCCGCTCTACGCTAATGTAAACCAACAAATAGTGAAATACTTATGGTCCAGACTGAATATAGTGTTCAATTTGGAAGTACATGTCGGTAATAACCCCATCTATCGGATTACGTAAAAAAACCTCAAACATAGAGATCTCTGTGTTTGGCGGGTAGAGTGTTAATAAGGGTAATGAGATGAGACAAAATTGAGTCATGTCTCCATTTAAATCTACTTTGTTGGAGTGAAATTTAGCAGGCATTTAAAACATGCTGGAGGATCTCTTTACAACCACACATCCTGCATGAGTCTGCTGTTCTCTTTTCCCATTTAAACAAATTTGTTAATGTCAGGAGGAAGTCTATCGAAGACCGAATGGCATATTTCAGTCAGTTTGGCTATGATGGCCCTCATGCTCCACTCACACCCCCCCCCCCCCCCCCCCCCCCCCCCCCCCCCCCCCCCCCCACACACACTAGCTTCATGTTTAATAAAAGTTACTGAAGTTAGAAGTCATGTTCTGAAAACTGTGTCAGTAAAATTGTAAATATATATTTGTTTTGATGTAGCCAATAGCAGAAATAGTTCTTTTTTTTGTGATTGGCTGTAACAAATACATGAACAAATACTGTATACCTTTATTGCTCTTCCAAGTCGAATCAATTCACGTACAGGCCTCCTAGTTACCTGAGGACCACCACGTAATGACCGGTCAGGGGACACTGACAGCTCGCGTATCAAAACATCTGTCAAGAGTTCAATCCTGTGATCAACTCGTGCCCTGAAAAACGTGGTCATAGAAAAGAACATTTTATTCATCTATATTTGAGTAACTTGAATTAAGCCGATATTCAAAGTAAACCTTTTTACTTGAAATCCTGATTTATTTACCACTTTAATCATAATGCCTTTTTCATACATTTATTAAATTTTATTTTATGTCTTACCTCATATCCTTAAGTGCTGGGCATGCTGGGACTTCCTTTAAGTAGTCATTTGCTGTCAATAAAAAAAAGTTTAGTAAAGTTACAAATCACCATTAGTTCTATTTTGTGGGGGGGGGGTTAAAATTTGAATCATCAGGGAAGGTGGGAAAGGGAAGAAGGGATTAATTTAAGCTGTTTTGAGATTTTTTTTCTTAAGTTCGAGTTGTTCTTTTAATTTGATGTATCTTGCAATCATTTGTCTTTAAGTTTTGTGTGTCAGGCGCAACTTTGTTTTACAAATGGTGCCACTGATGTAAAAGTGTAAGTCCAAATAAATATTATTATTAATATTATTATTATTATCACAATCCCCATCACAAACATTACCATAATCATAACAATCATCACCATCGCAGAAGATTATCATGCACTGGCAGAGGTACCATCAAGATTTTGATCAAATTAAAAATCTTACTTTTGATAATCAGGTCGACAGCATCCTCAAAGTTCCTCTGAGCAATGCACATATCAAGATCTTCTGGGAGTTCCATTAACCAATCAACTTTCAGCATACTACTCTCCATTAAATCACCATCATCCTCCTGAAAAAAAGCTGCAAAGAAAAAAAAACCTCCTTAATTATTACCAACCTGTTCTTTTAAGTGTGGAGATCTTTGCTGAGTACAGTTAAACTTATTATGCTGTTGTAACTTCACACAACTCCACTGACATCAACAGACCTAAACTTGTTGCCGACAGCGCTAATGTTGACTTCTCTGGGGTTCATCGTAATGATCCAAAGAGCCAAGTCGGCGGTAGCTTTGGTAAGGTCAAGTATATGGGTCAGGCTAAAACCAGCCAACCGATAAATAGCTGAAAGTTCACAGAAACTTCAAGAAAAATGTACCAACATGCTATGAGGGCATAAAACCTAGGAAAACACATCTCATGTGATTATAATGTGATTGAATAAATTTAACATTGAACTTTGAACACAAGATATCATTACATTATAGAATGGAAATGTCTCCACTTACGATTGTTGCTATCTAAGTCATCAGGATCTTCTGGGTCATCTGTTGGGGTTGTCTCCTTGACAACCATACTAACCCGACTTGATTGGTGGACAAGTTCTCGTTTCCTAGTATCTGCAGCTGCTTTAGCTTTCTTTGCATTTTCCAGGGAGGTTAACCATTCTTTCTAGAATTTAAATCAATCAAAATTATATTTTACACTAATTGCTTCTCAGCAGAGAAGGTGACAAATAAAAAATCATTCTTAATCATTCTTAATTTTTATGCTTTTATCTACCAATTTCAAAGCATAAACAGTGAGTAGTCCATGACAGGGGTATTTCCTCACAAGAATCTAGCTCTTATTTGTTGTTTTGTTACCTACGGTACATCTTTCCATGATATTAGTGTGGCCTGCTCTGTCTCTTGGAGCCAATATCTGGTTGTGGAGTCTGGGTATCCAGTCAAATTTACCAGGTAAATGTGAAACCTAATTTTTTGTTTGGGGCATCTAGGTAGTGGTCCGGGATTGTGCAAGCACATAGGCAAGTGGTTGGCACTGTTGCCACAACACATTGTAATCATGTAATTATTCACAATCCTTTAGTGTGTGTTGGGAGTGATAGTGCCAATAATCTTATCTACTGCTTCTGCATCATCTGTTTATGAATGTTATTTGTATATATTCATTTTTTTTACATTAGTATATACCTTTGTTTTTGGTCCATTTGCCTGAAACATTCTCTGATCTGGAAACATGAGTATCCTGAATGCATGCTTAACAGCTATATAGAAAATGCAACCTGAGTTAATACTTTCATTTTCAAAAGCATTTTCCTAAATATAGAACGCTATCATTATCTTCATTACATCATCACCATCTTCTTCATCATCATAATTACCAACCATCATTACCACGATACACATCAACATTAACATTATCACTATCATGAAAAGATCAAGATGTAACCAATGCTAACCAGGGTACATACACACAGATCTCCAGTTGGTGGGGATGGTGTAACCCCATACTTTGGTTTGAGTGCTAGCTTGGTTTTTATTGTTTTTTTCCCTTGCTTTTTATTTTGCCTTTTTCGTTGTCTTCTTGCAGTATTGTCAAGCGCATAGAGACCTCATTTATTTGCGCTATGTAAATCCATCTATTATCATTATAATTATCAACATCATATTATTATCAATATAAAGTATAAAATTACAATTCAAGATTTAAAATCATCAGCTACTGCAATTTGTTTATTTGTATTCAATGTTAGCTATTTATATTTCAATTTCTTGTACAGAAATAAAAAAGACAACATAAGAAAAACAAAATATAAGGCAACGTTGTAACCCCTGCCTTCAGAAGGTGTTACTTGGGGAGCTGAGCTCCCTGGAGAGACACATAACTCACGTCCTACATCCCTGACGTTAACCACAGCTAGGCTGTCCAATTCATACAGGGTCTGGAATTTGAAACGTACCGGACCACGTCTGGAGGTTAAAATAAAACAAGAATGTCATACACTACAACATATTCACTTTAAAAAATGTTCTCAGGGAAAATAATAAAAATTTGAAACTACTGTACCAGCAGACTATATCCAGGTTTGGGGTCACAATTGTAACAATTTTTTAAGGTAATAAGTTTGGCTAAATCACAGTAAAAGCACTGCAATATAAACAGTACATTCAAATGATTATGAAGTGAACAAATTTGTAATATTTGCATATCCTTAAGGTTATAGCTGAAGTGCACCCTCATAAAGATAGGATTATTTTTTATGTGAACATTACACACCAAGGATAAGATTAGTTTATGTGGGGTCCCTCTGGTGGTGAATTGGGCAGCACACTGGCGAACAATTCCCTACTTCTTTAGAGAAGAGTATACTAAGTTCTTTTACTGTATATTCTCAAGTATAAGACGAGGGTTAAAATAGCAAATTATGATCGAAAAACAGGGAGTCATCTTATATGTACGGGCAACACATACAAATTTTTGGTTTTTAAATCATGTTCGTGTTATGTGTGGATTGTCCGTAACATGTGAATTTACTACTGAAATGAAGCTACTAACTGTTAGTATGATTCAAAGGAGAGCATCCTGTTATGTCCTATCAAGAAAGGTTACAGAAACTTGGTCGGCTTTCTTTACAAAACAGGCGTAATTTTATTTTAGTTTCTTTTGTATTTTGATGTTTATAAAAACATAATATCTGCAGTGCAATCAATAATATAGTTATCAATTCTCGTCATCCAGGTAATCTTACTTTCATTCATCCATATGCCCGCACCATTGCGCTACAACATTCATCTATTCATTTATTTTGTGTATTGGTGATCCCTTCCAAGTCAAATTAAAGACGATGCTGTCATTTGCACCCTTAAAGTATTTTTTAATAGGTTTAAAGCATATCTTTTTAGTCTTCAGATGTAGGTATAATTTTTACTTTGCATGCATTGTTTTTTTTTTATAAATGTTAACTGTTTTTATTGTAAATATTGTTGATGTTTTTGGTGTTTCGTTGGGACTTCTAACTCACTGAGTCTTTGAGGCAATTGCTTTTTTAGAAGTCCCAGGGCCTTTCTGTCTAATAAATAAATGAAAAAATGAAAATAAATGTCGGCAAACAAGATGTTGATGAACATTTTTTTTTTACCAATTATGTGTTTATGCCTAAAAAGTAGAAAATACACAAAAATACAACAAAGACCATTTTAAAATCTATTGAAGAGCAAAACTATCGCATAACACTTTCGCATCGCCTACTGTCGCAAGATAGGTCCATTCTGGCCTTTTTTGCTCATAAAATTTTTTTATTTTTTATCACAGCTTGTCTTTCAGCCCTCTAGCTGAAACACAATCAATTAGTGGAATTACTTCATTTGTTTTTTTTAATCTGACCTGTTGGGTTGAAAAGTTGTCACAAGCAGGCTATCATTCAGTAGAAACACATGAACTTTGTGAATTTCTTGGAAGGAGTCTGGTTCGAGTTCTGTCAGGTCAGTGTCATATATTATATATCGGCCTGGTACCTCTGTCACTCGCTAAAAAGAGTAAAAAAAATGAAAAGAGATTGGATATTATTAATTGGGAGACTGATTAGGGAGAATCTTTGGTTTATTGTATCAAATACAATGTTTTATCTGTCATTTATATTTCAAAAAATCAACAAAAATGTCATTTTTCTTTTTTTACAATAATACTCAATCTCAGTATTACTGTACTATCATTTTTCTTTGTGGTTTCTCATAAAATTTTACCTTTTTTCTAATTTTGCAATGAAATGCACATTGATTACTACCAATTAATAAAACAATCAGACAACTTACAGAACAACCTTCAACTTTATCAAGCAGTGAAGCAATTGACTTCTTTGGCTCCTCTTTAGTGGTAGTATCCTTTGTGTCAACGACCTCATCTGGTGAATATTCATGAAAGAAAATATATTATTAATCAAATTTCAAAGAAAATGTGTATTAGTGATAGGTCAAATATTATACAAAATTAACTATTAATTTTTTCTCATTCTAATTAATTTTTTACTTGATGAATAATTAGCATATATAAACTTATGTTTTCTTGATATTAAAATGATTTTGAACAATCTTCTTATGTTTAAGTAAATTGTTTCTTTTCAATCTGAAATGATTGTGATATTTTTAATTTAACTCACCTTGGGCAGAAAATGACATCTCCAGCATTTCATCCATAATGCCTTTTTGCTCAGTTAGTATATGACTTAACTGGTACATCTCGCTTTCCAAGTCTGAACCAAAACATGTAAGGACTAGTTTAATTAATCATTCACTCACTCAATCAAGTCAACAGAAATTAAGTATTTACAAAATTAATTGAAATCAGTGTTTGTAACTTTGCGATACTGGCACGGAGTGGCTTAATTTCAAAGAATGCCCATTTATGTTTTTAAAAATAATGAGCAAATATCTTTAGAAAATAAAAGAAAACTCGTTGCACATTTCAAATTTGTTATTAGTAAAGTTTCATTTTGATTAAAGTGGTACTGTATACCTATCAAGTATACCCAGTCAATATAAAGGTCTGTATAAAAGAATTGAGTAGAAATGCTATTTCTTATGTTTGTTAATAGGGATATATTCTGTTATGGAATTGTATTTTTGAAGTTTTATATTAATTCAACAAGATCAGTTTGGTATATCGTCAAGATCGTCCATAAAAAGGATACACGATATTTCCTTAGCAGTTTCAATGAACTGAGCATAATTTTTGTAAACATTTTTCTTGAGGGCGAGGTTGGTTTCATCACTTAGGTTCTTGACCTTTAACCTGTGTTCCAGCAAGTCATGGTATGTGTCGCCTCCAGATGATATCTCTTGCACAACTGGAAAAAACAAAAAGAGATGGGAGGAGTTGATGAATTTATTTAACTACGGTAAAAGTAATATGGTAAATAAGGAATAGAATAGTGAATTTTTTATTAATAAACGTATTATTTTGTAGCAGTTTGAAAAACCTACACTATAGGGGTCCCATAGAGTAGTTACTCCTGGGAGATTTGGTAAGCGAGCTTTCTACTATCACTACCTTCCATTAGACAATCGGTCCTACTAAACACCACACGGACCACACAACACCACACGGGACCATAAGGATGCAAAAATGATTAAAATATTAACACACGAGAGAAGAAAACTGCTTAGTAATCAATAAAAACAAACATTTATAGCGATGGTTGTCCGAATTATGGTCAAAATTGAGTATTTTTTACAGGATCTTGATGATAACGTATGTAATGTGTGTGTAGGCATATTATTATAAAGGACATGGTTGAGCGTGATTTTGCAGATGTCAATGCGTTAGAGATACTCAATATCAACACATTACCTTCTGAAGCACGTCGGCAAAACCTGTAAAAAAATAGATTGGATTGGATTGGATATATTCGGTGTAAACACCGAGGATGCCCACGAAAGCCTAGAAGAAGACTTATTTCCAGTGGGGTCCTTCTGGTGGTGATTGGGCAGTACAACGGGAGACAATCCCCTACTCTTTTCTGAAGAGTGTACTGCGTTCTTTAACATGCATATGGGCCATAATTGCACATGGGACCAACTGCTTAAACGTCTCATCTGAAAGACGGTGCCCTTTTGTAACTTGTATTTCAGCCCCCCAGCTGAAACATATAAGGAAAGGCAGCGATAGGAATTGAACCGGGGACCTAGAGATCTCCACGGTTCAGCGCACACACAGTGGCTATTATCACCGACTGAGCTAAGCTGCTCTCTCAATACTGATAGTCAATTTTTACCATAATTCGGACAACTATCACTTTAAAAGTTAGTTTTTATTGAATATTAAAAAGTTTTCTACTCTCGTGTGGTAACACTTTAATTTTGTTTGTGCCCGTGTGGTGTTTAGTGGGACCCTAAACAATTGATAATAAAACATGAAAATTATGAATTTGTGGGAGATGGGCTATTTTACAGGAAATTCATGCTTGATTGTTGTGGGAGTTCAACTTGTTCGACTTGGTACCCCTGGGTATAATAAGGTAATAATAACCTACTTAAGTCTTAAGTAGTGATTAATTTTATTTTCTAAGGAGGTCCCTGTAGCTTGATAATAGCCTAGTATAGTATAGTATTTTAGTAGGCCTACTTACTAGGCCTAGGCCATTCCTAACCCTAACAATAGGCCTACTACATCCTAATGATTCCCTGACTGACAAGTGGGAAGGCCTCTAACTCTAGCTATAGTAGTAGGAGAGACAAGAAATAGATGCACGCGACCAACCACCGCCCTAAAACAGTAGACTGTCGGCTACCTAGTTAAGTTAGGTCCAGGGCTTGCCCAGGCCTAAATACTGAATACAGATCATTTCGGTCGCGCTTCGTTTCGGTCGCGCTTCGTTTCGGTCGCGCTTCATTACGGTCGCGGTTTGTTTTCAACAAATATATGGAGCGCCAATGGAGTTTCGAAACGCTAAATTCAATATTACTAGGCCTAATTACCATTGCAAGTTGTCAATCGGTTTATCATACTTTTTTTTATTTATGTTTTGTTGTATTTCTAATAAGTAACAACAGGCTACTTAAAAGCAAATAAAAATAATACTATTATTACTAAACTATCAATTACTGTAAAATTATCGGACGGTTTTTATTTTCGTTTTGTTATGAATCCTACGCTTTCTACTACATAACAAATACAGCAAATAAAATAAATAATATTATTAATATTATTATTATTAAATATGATATTATTATATTATTATTTTTATTTATTTACATTGTATCAGGAAAAACCAGCCAATTTGTCATTTAGATTACTGTAGCATTAGTTTATTAACAGTTATTTTTTATTAGTATTAAAGTTTGTTATTGTTACTATATTACTGTATAACTTGGTGCTATTTTTCTTTTATTTACAGAAACAACGCAGATGTTACGAAGTTGACCGAGTTTGCGATACGTGTTTTTTTGTTTCTTGCTATATATATTGATATAATTTTTATTAATGCTTGAATCAAATAAAAATCTATGGAATAAGTATAGTTAATAGATTTAGTTTCGCATAGGTTTTTTTTCTTGTCTGTTACGTTTCCATTTACCAAAAATATTCTGATCATGTTATAATAATATTGTAAAGGAAATATGTATTTTCATATTTATATTTTCCATATAAAATTATCAATATATTGATAATTGCATGCGGTACATTTTAAAAGCCTTTTCATGCTTCTGTTATATTCATAAGCCCCAGAAAATCACTCAACTTGCTAGGTCTGTTTCTTTAGTTGTATAACTGGGGTATAATTGTGGAAAGAAACGTTTCCACATATTTATTGCCATGGTACTCTTAAGGCGATAATGACACAAGGTTTGTGATTTCTTTTTTGTTTTATTTCCATTTTTGTTACATTATTGCAAAGACAGAAGTAGGTCAGATGCTAAAATAAATGACTAGCTGTTTCTAGGTACAAACACGTACGCTGGAGCGCAGTTCACCATTTCACGTGTGTTCACGTCACCTACTTCATGAAACCTGTAACTTCGAATCGTCTGCGCTGGCTGCTGATCATGTTTATAAAATAAAAAAATAAATG